TCGGCTAGGTCGTTAAGATATATAAGTGCAAGGAGAGGTCCCAGAACAGACTCTTGCGGGCACCCAGCATGTATGGTTCTAGGCGTGCTGAAACTGTTGCCTACCTTAACTATCTGCTTACGGTCTAAGAGATACGATTCCAGCCAATTTAGGAGAGTTCCTGGCAAACCACAATAGTCATTGCACTTGAGTAGGAGACCCTTATGCTATATCTTGTCAAGATATTTACTAATGTCCAAGTAAATGGCTGTAAAGTCATTGCCTCGGCCCAAAGCTGCATAAAGATTTTTTACTTAAATATACCAGCTGAATTTATGTGCTATGCTTTGGACGGTATTCACTTTGTTTCTCAGAGAGCAGCCCATTCTGAGTTAGGTCTTGATAGGTATCATTAAAGATAATTATTTCAAGAATTTTTGACACACAAGGGAGTAGACTGATTGGTCTGTAGTTAGCAGGATCCGAGCTTGACCATTTGTTCTTGAAAATGGGATGAGCCTTTGCTTCTTTCCAGGTGGAAGGAAAAATACCTTGGCTTAGGGACATGTTGAATAGCTTAGTGAGTGAAGTCTTTATCAATATGGCATTCATTTTTAATATGTTCGCTGGGAGATTGTCAGAACCGCATGATCTGTTTGGATCGAGTGTTGAGTGCGCTCAGTACTTCATCCTCTATAATGGCTATGCTATCTGACGTGGGCGGTGGATCCGCAAGCGCGGTCTCGGGGACAGGTAGGTCGTCAGTTGCAAGTTGTGATTGACAAAAAAGTTAGCTAGTAGGTTAGCTTTATCTAAGTCTTCTGTCAATGGAGTTGAATCGGGTCCCACGAGCGGTGGCACTGTCTCAGCTCGTGTCCGTCCTTTCATTTGTTTAAGAATGCGATGGTACGTGTGTGGGTTTTGCTTTGCATGCAAGAGGTTGTTTTCTTGATGCTGCAAGGGGTTGTTAAGTCGTCCGTTCATGCATGTGGTGAAATTTCTTTGTTGTCGCCAGCGGTCCCAGTGGTCATCAGTCATATACCTTTGAGCAAGTCTGAAGTCTGTCTCTTCTCCTCATCTCTCTCTTTAGTGCAGCATTGACCCAAGGTTTGTCACAGTTTCTCATTCTGATTATCTTTGTTGGAATAGCTTCAGCAGCTGCTGCGGACATGGTCTGCGTAAAGTTGTCGCTGTGTCTATGTCATGATCGAGTACTCTGTCCCAGTCTGTGTTTACCAGAAGTTGTGAAAGTTTGTCTGCATCCATGTTTGTGTAGTCCCATACTTGTTTGGTTGATGCCTTTAGGGGTGGTGATGCAACCTTGATAGTGACAAAGGTAGGAATGTGATCTGTTAGTGAAAAAGGGGAGTACCCCACCGCCTGCAATGATGTGATGTTTGTGTTGGATGTCAGTATTAAGTCTTGTAAGCTGGCTGTGTCTTGTGTAATGTGTGTTGGCTGATCAATGAGCTGTGTCAAATTGAGTGATTCAACTGTGCGTTTCAGACTGAGTTCAAATGGAAAGGTATCATTGTGGTTAGTGGAGCGCGCTTTAGTTAGATAGTTATAACCAGCGTTGAAATCTCCCAATATCAGTATCGATGCGGGGTTATATGTGTGTGTCGTGCCAACACTGTCTGACAAGATATCTAAAAACTCTCAGTTGACTGCTAGAGAGATTGGGTGGGACAAAAACACAGAAAACCACAATAACTTCTGATTTGATTTCAGTGAGGGACCAAACCCATTCAACTCCTTCCAGTTCGAGATCAGGTAGTCTCTTTGCTGGGAGTGTTGATTTAAAGTATGCTGCTACTCCCCCTCCATGTCGAGTCCTGTGCTTAGTCATTGGGTTGTGGGAGTTGTGTCAATTGTACAAGCTAGGATGGACCTGTAAGTCAAGTTTGGTTTCAGTCAGAGGCAACATGTCAATGTCGTTATATGTGGTGAAGAGTGCAAGCTCGTCCAGGCGTCCTGGAGATGTGATGCTGTTTATGTTGACATGTAATATCGTGACACTCTTGGCTGCTAGTGGTCCTGGGATGATTTCCAGCCTACTGATTATTAAGCAAATTTCAATGTCAGGATATAGTCTAAGTGACAGCTTTGAGCATTTGTGTGCAGGAGCTGAGGAAGTGAAGGTAAGATGTGTGCTTGAAGGAAAAGAGTGGGTGAGAACTGGATAGTGGTATGGCATGAGGTATGAAAGGGATAGAGGAAAAATACCAGCATCTGCTGAGCAGCCCATCTCCAATGTCCCAGCGGAAGAGGTTGATTGAATGCTGTCAGAAAAAGTCCCTGGTAGCAGCAGGCTAGATTTGGCAGCAGGACACGAAGCAGCATCCAGGAACTGGTAACAAGTTGACAGTGATATGAGAGTCGCACGAGTAACAATGTGGAAAATAAGGCAGATGCAATTACACAAAAAGGCTATGATGGAGAACAGAAAAGAAATAAGCAGACTGGCTTCTCTAATCATGTATCAAACATGACTATATCACTGGGGCAAGGCATACCTGATATGAGCATATCACATTGTGAGCCATGGATCTCAAACCAACAGAAATACAGTTGCCGTTGACAAATGCAGATACAGTCAAGTAGACACAAATAGTCAGCACAGCACGCCTGATGTGAAATGATGGCCGCGAGCATAAGTGTCATACATCAACCACAATAAACACACAGCATGAAGCAACAATCAGGAATGCAACAAGGTCAGCATCGCTCCGACGTGCATTCTAAAAAGTTACATCGCAGCAATAAGTGAGAACCACTGGGACCACTAAACTAAGCTGACAACACACTTCTTAGAAATACGAACAAAGTACAAATGCCGTGGCCACCGTATTACACACAGCTACCAGATTTCGGCTGAGGTGTAAGCAAAGCGCATTTCGTACTGGCATATGAGGTTTACCTGCTTTCCCCGGCAGTCGCAACGACAGCGTATGTTGCAGCACTCGCGGCGTCTGCGTTGTCCGGTCCGCGGTCGTCAGTGGGGGCGGCTGCCCCGGCTGCCGTACGACGACGAGTCGCCTCAGCCGCCCCGACAATCCTGTGCAGGTCCTCTTCTGTTTTAATTGCATGTGTGTTGCTTCCTTCCGCTGTTTTCATTTTCATTACGCAGCCATCACTCTAGGCTGCCCAGATTTTGTCGTCTCGTCTGAGCTGGCGAGCGGCACACATCACTTTCTGGCTCCTTTTAGTCAGGTTTACAGTTACATACGCCCTTGTGATGGGGTCTGGAGTCAGACAGGACTGCCTAGGTGGGTGAGCTGTCCGCAACTGCTGACGGGCGCTCCATACCTCTTCCCTCCTCGTGTAGGACACAAACTTGACGACTAACGGTCGGGTGCGGCTGCCGCCGTCCGGGGTGGGCTGAGGTCTACCGACCCGATGAGCGCGGTCAATGTCGCCTGGCTAGAGCTGGATGTCCATAGTTCTGGCTAGGTCAATGGCCAGGCGCACCGGCATCTTGTTTGCGGTTTCAGCCGCGCAGTTGAAATTGAAGCAGTTCCGTCTGGAGTACTGCCCAATATCGTCAATTGCCTGTGACTGGGTTCGGATGATTTCTTGTTGCTCACTCACTTGGTTCTTGAGCTCCTTTACTTCTTTATCGCGAGATTCGAACTCCTCCTTGAATATATCTCGCAGAGTGTTGCGCACTTCACTTGTGGTTGAAGCAGGCAAGAAGGGCTCGCTTCAGTGACTCCTCATTCAGAGCACTCATTTTCTCATCTGCCCTTATCCTCCGTTCCTCCCTACTGTCACCCTTAACCAAATGTCTACTCGCCTGTCACTCGTGCGACCCGCTACTTCTCACGAGCGGTCACACTTAGAGGCTTCGAAACGGACTGGCACTCGGCCTGACACGGCTGTTTAGGGACCCGGTCGGCGAGGGTCGCGAGGGTCGCGAGCTCTGACCTGGGCGGCGGCCAAGGACGAACTTAGGCCGACGAACAAACGAACAAAGGTCGACGCCGGCCAAGGCAGTTCGGCCGATGGAGGCGGGGCCGGAGGGCCCGCTTCCGCCGTCACTGGCGGAGGAAGACCAAGCTGACCGAGGCACTTCAAGTTTCAGGTGATGGTTCATATAATTATTGCCTCTTCCAACTGCCGGTCCTCTGGCCCCTCGAACAGGCAGTCTCTGCAGCCAAGTAAGGCCGCACAGGCCGGCAGTTGCGCATCAAGTATCAAGATTTGCATCAAGTATTGATATTTCAAGACTTGATACTTAGTATCAAGTCAGGTATCAAATATCAATACTTGCATCAAGTATTGACACTATAGGACTTGATACTTAGTATCAATTCCTGTACCAAGTATCAAAACTTGACTTCTGGTACGTATTAAGGAATGAATGCAAACGAGAGCTATAGGTGGGAATGAGTGCTCGACAGACTGCGACTAACTCCAGGCTCAAGTTCTCGCTCTGCCTGAGACCGCTCCTGGCTCGCCGGATGATCCGTCCTTGGTGTCAGAGGCGCGCTGAGACAGCTGCTCAGGCGGGAGGTGGTGCTCGAACGGGCATAAAATGTATGCGGCTGTTTTTTTATTTTACAAAAAAATTTAAAAAACATGTGTGATATTTAAAGAAGCGAATGGAAAACAGGTACCGTTTCCAGAAATGTTGCAGTCTAAAGCATTCACTGTCAAGAGTCTGGAACACAGCCGCAGGTTCGAGGTGAAAGCCGCGTATGTGCATCTTCATGGAAGGGGACGAACCATCCATTTTCAAGGCACATTCTTTCCATGCATCGCCATGAGGTTAATACTGAAGTTAAACAAATGCGTCGGCTCTGGCCCACCCAACCCCTCCCCTGTTCGCGCGCTCAGCTCTCACGCGTGGAGGGAGCGTTGCACCCTGTTTTGCGCTATGGCCGCTGAGCGATAACATGTCCTCTGCGCTCGCTGGTGTCCCATAAAGGCGTGTGTGGCGATGTGCGTCGCATTCTCTTCTATGAAAAAGGCGGTAGGAAGGCAGACTGAAGAGTTCCAGGGTTGGGACGAGACTTGATACGGGGAGGGATGCGACACGATAGACGATGGAAGACGGCGATACCCTTGATTGAGACGATTCAGGAGAGTTTCATCCACCAAAAAGCCGTGCCGACTGAACTATGCGGAGGACTTGAAAGCGTGGGGCAAAGATGGCATAACCTAAATCTCCGAAGAGGTTTGCTAGCGTATCGTCTCATTTCAGGTAGTCGTCCAACTCGGCGAAAATTGCGTCGTTTGGCACTAGTTGTACTCTCCGAAATGAAGCGCCTGGAACCGCCCCTGCTCGGGCCAATAGGCCCCTCCTCGCGGGCTGACCGGGCGGACAGGCCCCTCCTCGCCGGCGACATGCACCCGTTTACAAAGCATATACAACCTTCGAGCCGCCCCGTCTGCCTGCGCTTATCCCGTCACTCTGCGCTCGGTCACTGCCGCGTGACGGGCCGTGTCGGATTGAGCTCTGCGCGTGCTGCTTTAGGGTTATCGTGACGCTGACCAGCCGGTGACGTTCCAGCACGCTTCATGTCGAACCCAGAACCTCACGTCACAGACGTCAAAGGTGAGGAGCTTTCGGCGCACGTTAACGCACGCTGGCAATGTAATCGACATCCGTGCTGGCTTATATTTTATCTGCGTCTCAAATCGGATGAGTTGTGACCTAGTGACAGCCATTGTCACTTATAGGTCAATGAACCCGTCGTCATTGGGGCTGTGCAACGCACTCAGCGGTTAAAGGCATGTGCTGTTCAGTATCTCTCACCCTGGCGGAAAGATCGTGCTTCGTCGGAATCAAATCTCATAGTTTCTGGACGCGCGGCCTAACCACTGCGCTACTGGACCCTCGTGACGCACATCGTGGCATTGTCTGACACGGTCGCTGGGTGGCGATGTACTGAGAGCGGCTAGGCCAGCGAGCCGGCATCCCTCCAGTGACCCTCATAAATGGATAAAACACGATATTCTGTTCAAAAAAGTGAAAATAGTAAGAAAGGAACAGTTGGATATTAAAGAGAGCATCCCACTTTTTGTACTTTTCACATATTGTTAGATCGGACGCATGCGATTTGATCAATGATACCAGCATTCTCGAAATCCTTCTAAGTTCAGCATTTCTATTTGAAGTAGGAGGAACTCCTCGTGGTGGTGAAACTCCACTCCTGCTGGAGAAATTTCATTTGACTACCTGCTCACCACTGCAAAAATAATGCATTTAATTTTCCCTCCTTTTTCTAACGTGCGCACTCTGTAATGTTTGTAACACACTGATTGCCAAAATGGTGGGATTCCCGCAAATCAACGAAACGCGACAGTGGGGTTTGATTTCTTCCCTATGGCGCTCACCACGGTGGGTGTTTTCGAGGCGCTCTCCGGCATCGCGAGTGGTCCATATTGACGCACTGGTTTTAACGTCAACCAGTGCGGTTCTAGGTGACAGGCTCTTGCCGCCTGTTGGGCCAATCACAAATGTTCTTTTATACGCACCAGTGGAGGTACGCACGCGGTTGTCGTGAGGTAACGATCGTAGCGTGTCATGATGGTTATGTACTTCGGGCTCGAAATTAAGCAAAATTGATACCTCTATTATGTCCTGACGGTGCTGTTATTGCACCACCCAATGCTATTATTGGATGTAAGTGGTCCTGAGGCTTCACTAGAATATATTTTTGAAGTATGCCCAGAAGGTGGGACAATCCCTTTGATAGAAACGTCTCCAGGTGTAAGCAGACGTCGACGTCGCAGTCTAATGTCATGTTAGGTCACGTAACTCAACCACCCCGGGTGATCGGCACATTTTTGTGGTGTTAGATTATTACCAAGTGTGTTATAACCGAGTGGTGAAAGTTTTTGGTCGTCGGTTAAGCAATTTAAGAGGAATGATTCACATTGAAGATGTAGGGGGCAAGCATCAGATATGACCAAAAGAGCTTATTTATAAGTATTGGTTTGCTATGGCATTTCTTGGGCTCACGCAACTGACATTGCCAAGAGAGGCCCCTGCTACCATAATTCCATCCAAACGCTACGTTAAGAAATGTCACTGTTATTTCCTTAGCAGTGACATTTCTGAAACATGTGACACATAATATGTGCCTTTATTATCTTTGAAATGTAAAACACTGTTACTGGGCTTTTGAACGAGTTGCAGTGTACTGTCTGTCCTTCTCATGACTGGTCTGACGTGACGTGACTTATTTCCGAGCTGTAACATTGGACGCTGGCGGTTTTACATCATCACTGGAATCGTGACGCAGTAATGATTCTGTAGAGCATGGCATGAGTCACAAGGAGTGAAGCTATGGTAATGTGGCGTTTTGCGGGCCGTATTGCGACATACGCCTCTAAGCTCCTGTTCTTCTAGATGGGAATAAAACAGTATTCACACAGGGTGTGGAGCGAGAATGCTGTCTTCTAGATGACGATAAAACACATTTCATGCATTGCATGCTACTAAAGGCTGAATTTTTGGACTTACCGTGCAATGACGAACCGAATGATATCTAAGGAAACGCAGTTTTGTTCATAACATGCTTTTCACCCCTGGTGACGTTGGAAGTTGAAGTTAGAAGTGAGAAGTTATGCATATATATATATATATGTGTATATATATATATATGTATATATATATATATATATATATATAGGTATATATAATATATAATATATATAGATATATAGACAGATAGATAGATAGATAGTAGATAGATAGATTGTGTGTGCGTGTGTGCGTGCGTGTGTGCGTGCGCGCGTGAATGCGTGAATGCGTGTGTGTGTGTGTGTGTGTGTGTGTGTGTGTGTGTGTGTGTGTGTGTGTGTGTGTGTGTGTGTGTGTGTGTGTGTGTGTGTGTGTGTGTGTGTGTGTGTGTGTGTGTGTGTGTGTGTGTGTGTGCGTGCGCGCGCGCGCGCGCAAGCTCCTGCCTACTCAACAAACGCAGTAGTTGACGCTTATATGTATGCGTGTGTGTGTATGCAGAGGGCGCAAGCGCGCCGTCGTCGGCGCGTTTCGTCGTCGTGGATACGGACCTGGGCGTCGACGACGCTCAAGCTATCGGCATGCTGCTGTCGGCCGAGCGGCGTGGCGAGCTGCGCGTACTGGGAATCACCACCGTGGCCGGCAACACCAGCGTCAAGAACGCCACGCGCAATACACGCCGCCTGCTCGCCACATACGGCCGTCTGGACGTGAGTAGGCCGGGCAAGAGACGACAGCAGGGGTTGTCGATGAGCAGGTGTGTGCAACGCAGGAGGACGACACCAGAGGCTGTCGATGGGCAGGTGCATGTACATCATGTGTACAGAGCAGGGGGACGACACCAGGGGCAGGCAGTGAGTAGGTGTGTACAGAGCAGGGGGACAACACGAGGGGTGGGCGATGAGTAGGTATGTACAGAGCAGGGGGACGACACGAGGGGTGGGCGGTGAGTAGGTGTGTACAGAGCAGGGAGGCGACACCAGGGGCAGGCGATGAGTAGGTGTGTACAGAGCAGGGGGACGACACCAGGGGTGGGCGGTGAGTAGGTGTGTACAGAGCAGGGGCACAACACCAGGGGTGGGCGATGAGTAGGTATGTACAGAGCAGGGGACGACACGAGGGGTGGGCGGTGAGTAGGTGTGTACAGCGCAGGGGGCGACACCAGGGGCAGGCGGTGAGTAGGTGTGTACAGAGCAGGGGGGACGACACCAGGGGCAGGCGGTGAGTAGATGTGTACAGAGCAGGGGGGCGACACCAGGGGCAGGCGGTGAGTTGGTATGTACAGAGCAGGGGGACAGCACCAGGGGCAGGCGGTGAGTAGGTGTGTACAGAGCAGGGGGACGACACCAGGGGCGGGCGGTGAGTAGGTGTGTACAACGCAGGAGGGTAGGTGTGTGAACGCAGTAGGTGTGTGAGCGCAGGAAGACGACACCAGGGGCAGGCGGTGAGTAGATGTGTACAGAGCAGGGGGGCGACACCAGGGGCAGGTGGTGAGTTGGTATGTACAGAGCAGGGGGACAGCACCAGGGGCAGGTGGTGAGTAGGTGTGTACGGAGCAGGGGGACGACACCAGGGTCGTGCGGTGAGTAGGTGTGTACAACGCAAGAGGGTAGGTGTGTGAACGCAATAGGTGTGTGAGCGCAGGAAGACGACACCAGAGGCAGGCGGTGAGTGGGTGTGTATAGTGCAGGAGGGTGACACCAGGGGCAGGCGGTGAGTAGGTGTGTACAGCTGAAGCTGATGATGGTGTGCAGCGCCATACTCTCAACGACGGCTCTTAGCGAACGGCAATGAAGTTAGCAAAAATGAAATACCTTAAATGAATCGCATAGCCTCGCAAAGTGTTTGTAAACAAGTTGTTCACATATAAAGCAGTCTTTGTGGCTTGCACTAATGATCTCGCGTCAACAGATGCTTGTTGGCGTCCTCTAAATTTACTGTCGATTAGACGGTGTCTTTCACCTTGTCAACCTGGTTCTATGGACACACGATCGGAACTGAGGTATATCCTGGTTTTCTGGTCCGCGTGTAAGCTGGGGCTCAAATGCCGCGGCTGCTTGACATATCCTGGCGTACGTTGGCACCCCCGATGCATCCTGCCTTACTGATCCCTCGTTTGCAGGCGCGTTTGCACGTCCGTTTGGCTCGTTTGCTTCGCATGCCATGATGCATGTGCACTGTACAGCGTTTGTGCAAATATGCTGCATACGCTGTTGCTCAGGTGCCTATTGTCTCGCAATGCTGGTACTCAGGCGTGTGTTGTCTCACAATGTTTGTGCTCAGGTGCCTACTGTCTCGCAATGTTGGCGCTCATGGTCCCATTGTCCTGTGGGTCCTTGTGCACGCTGGTGCTCAGGGGCCTAATGTCCTGTGGGCCCTTGTGTATACCGGTGCTTAGGCGCCTGTTGTCCTGCGGGTCCTTGTGTATATTGGTGCTCATGGTCCCATTGTCCTGTGGATCCTTGTCTATGCTGGTGCTCATGTGCCTGTTGTCCCGTGATCCCTGTGTATACTGGTGCTCAAGGTTCTCATTGTCCTGTGGGTCTTTGTGTTATGCTGGTGCTCTAGGTCCCATTGCCTTGTGGGTCCCTGTGAATGCTAATGCTCAGGTGCCTGCTGCCCTGCAGGTGCCTGTGTATGCTGGCGCTCACTGCTTCCTGCTGAGTGGAACAGATGACCCTCCTTACCAATACCACGGGGAGAACGGGCTCGGTAACGCCCGCTTCGAGGAGCCGCTGCCCGCAGTCAAACAGCGGCCGGAGCATGCCGTGACGGCACTCTCTCGCCTCGCCAGCGAGCACAAAGGTCAGACTTGGTCAGGTGACGTCATACGCTGACGTCGGAGGGTGCCAGGCGTACGCAAGTCAGGTGGGGCGCGCTTAGGTACGGGTCACACGGTCCCTTACGCTGACAGGAATGTGGATATATCGCGCCGCCTGTGCGCTGGTGACGCACGGTTGGAGAGATTCACTGGAACCTGCGCTCCTCCCGGCCTACGTGCACTTGGCTTTTCCTGCCCAGTGATCTGTCGTTGCCTGCTGACGGTATGGCTCTCGAAGATAGGGTCCAGACTAAACAGCGGGACCCGTGCGACATGGACTGTAAGCTTTCAAATGCGCAATATGATGGGCTAAATAAATAAGCTACAAGGCGACTATAGGCTGCTCTTCTACTCCAACAATAGCAAGAATATTGCTCAGGAAGACAAAGACTGACAATGATAGAACGAGCCTCACATCTTTGGATCAGAGTTTGACAATGGAAGGCACTCCATGCCGTAAGTTGTAACAAACACTTTCATATTTTTGCCATATTTCGTCGTGATCCCAATGATGTTCAGACATATAGGTACACTAGTTGGAATTTTTAGCTGCAACAGCTGGAATTCTTTGTTCTGGTATTAATTGATCTTGAGTATGCTGGATGGTACTTGTTAAACAACATTGTGAAGCAAGCGTTGCCTTTATTGATAAAACTCGCCTTTGCAAGTCATGCTTTATAGCGATAGAGAACAGTAGGAGAGAGCGAGAAGGAGAGTGAGAGTGAGAGGAGAGGAGGAGAGAGAGAAAGAGAAAAAGAGATCCCTCTGGCTCCAACTTTGGAATAGGGTGTGCTTTGTCTCCTTCTTCCAACTTGCGACGGGGGTCTGGGTAACTTAAATGACCAGGTGTGTTTGTACTCCAATCTTCTGTCTGTGTGACATGAGCACTGACCGTTTATGTGCGGACGGGTTTGGTCCGCGTCACCACAGCTATTTGGTTAAGGACCTCAGTCGGTTATAACTCATTAAGACGCCACCACATTTGGACCCCACCAAGACTATTTCCGGTCACATCGTCACCTAACTTGGCGTCATAATGGCGTCATGGCGTCACCAATATGCCTAACTTGGCGTCATCTGTCCATGTGTTGTCTGAAGCCATTGCATATTACCTGATCATCGTTGTTTGTGGACCATTCCGTCGATCTCTCGCTGTCGAGAGACGCCTTTCGCCGCACGTCCATGGACGCAAGGTCAGCTGGGACGCACTCTGTCTCCATCTTCTGCAGGCCGACTGGGGCTCGGTATACCGGGAGGCGAAAATGGATCGGAAAGTGACAAAAATCATGCACGTAGTGGTGGAGTGCGGTCGACGTGCAGCGTCCCTTAAGAGCTATAACCCTCGTCGTCGTTTGCAGTGGTCAATAACATAAACATTTCTGTCCTGCCGAAACCAACAACCCGGGCCGAAACCCAACTCCCGGCCTACCGGCGTCTTTGAAGCCGCGGCAAGGCCCCTCTGCGACGTCGAAGCTTGATATATTTCCGATACCCTGCTCACAGGCCATGCCGGATTCTTGTGAAGCAGTGATAACTTCGCTTTCCAGCCCACGAAGGGAGGAGTGGCGCCGAGGTGGACCTGTCCATAGCATGGTATTTGGTTTTCGTCAGCCCATGTATCGCTGCCGAAATGGCAGCGACACCCTTGGCCCTGCCACCTGGAGTGCCGTGACTGCTGCCAGTCTAAGGCAGCATCACACTACTTTGCTTAAATTTTCGATTGCTACGAGTGGGCTGTCATCATCCAGGGTGAAAGGACGAGGCGGTGTGCCGCTGTATACGTTACTTAAATGTCTCCTTGTTCTAAGAAGCCACTTGCTCTATGCCATCAACATATCTGATGTCTCTTGTGTTTTTCCTGCCTTCTGGAATGTGGCCTCTGTCCTTCCTCATCACAACTCCGGTTCTCATGGTATCGCTAGTAATGTCAGGTACCACATTACATTTACCACACTACTAAGCTGTGGCGGTGAGTGCGTGTGTGTGGGTGGGGGGGGGGGGGGGGGTTCGTGGAGTCGGCGTTGGTCCCACCGTCGCCGTCACCTTAATTGATCTGAGTCGTATCTTCGATAGTGTCGACCAAGGCGTTCGTCTGGAAGCATTGGTATGACATCGATCCTAGGTGCTTCAAACAACCTGTCTTGCCGTTTGGCGGTAGGTGGTAAGAGGCGGTTGTCTCTTCCTTCTCCTGACTCACGGCACTCCTCCGATGTCCCTAATCGGTCTTATCCCTCCCAGGACCACCGCGCTTGACATGCCAGCCTGCATCCGTCGCGGACGTCTGACATTCCACGCCGACGGTATCTAACTGCTGGACTGCTCTCATCCCGACCAATTATTTGATCATTATCACCAGCTTTCTTGTCGCATCATCACCTTTAGAAATCCCGGCACGAGGAAACCATCCCAGTGATCCTACTTCACATCCAACTGCCCAACATGAATTCCACTAAAGCAATGTCTCTCCTTTTCGGTACTCTACAGTCCCTAAACACCCTTATCATTTAAGCTTACCGTTGCTGGACAAAAAACAGCCCGCTCTCCGTCTGTGAAGATGCTGGGGGCGGCCATTAGCTCTACTATTTCCTAGGAGAAGAACGTACTGAATGCTGTCAAGAAGTGCTGTTCTCTGTATGAGATACGTCACCACCTCACGCCCCAAATCCGTAAGCTTATCCAGTCCCACGCCCCTCCCATGTGCTGTACTGCCTCCCGGTCTGTGGCGCGGCTGCGGTGTGTTACGTAAACAGAGCGCGAGGGGGACGTGAGTCATGACCAGGATCATCACTGGCGCTCGTCAGGGAGACTCCATGGCACCGTCGACTGGCAACGTCCTGGATTGCCGTGGCGTAAATGAGTGATCTAGGCACCCACTGTGCCAACCTTGCTGTGTGCAGGCCCCTTGAAGACTCGCGGGCTTCGTTGGCGGTCCGACCCATGTTCACCCCACGTACCGCTGTTTGCCAGCATGCCACCCGGACGGCAGCGGCGAGCGTCCTTAATGTCCGCTATCCGATTGTCGGTGGCACGCAGGACCTCCTAGTGTCGCGGAACCGCCTGCCCCCGACCACCACCGCCAATCGAGTCCGCAGGGAAATAGAAAAAAGATAAGTGTTTGTCTATGTGTCATGACATGTTTCGACGATTCGTTTTCACATTTTTGTAAGTTTTAGAGCTGGAAGGTGGTCACCTTTTTGACGCTGTACTACTCCACTATCAATTAAGTAGTGGGTAGTATTGAGTATATTATGAGTATTCATCTATACCTGTATCTATCATATGTATATGTATACATTTATATATATATATATATATATATATATATAATATTATGTGTTCAGTCCAGCGGCCCTTTCGGAAAAACCTCCCCGAGGAGCATCCTGGATCCGCGCCTGGCGCCAACAATAACGCGGCGCGCCGGCGCAGGTCAGCTGGCGGCCGGCAGGTGGCAGCACGTCGGCTCCCTCCGGTGGCCGCGGCGGCCTGACCAACAGGCGCGGAGTGAGGGCCGCATGACAGGGCCGCCCTCTGGCGCACGCAGCTGTTGTCAGGGCCGCCCTCTGGCGCACGCAGCTGTTGTCAGGGCCGTGGGCTTGTCGCGCGCAGCTGTTGTCAGGGCCGTGGGCTTGTCACGCGCAGCGGGCGGCAGTCCTCCCCTGACCACGGTCAGCGGTGGTCCCTGCGCAGGAAGCCGCTGCAGATGCTGCCAGATTTTCAGAGACCCTCGCACAAAAGCAGTGCAGCTCATAAGATAAACTTTGAAATTCATACGCGTTGTCTAACCCGATACGAATTTGTTGTTTCTGCTCTTGATCTATAGAGGTTGGTCTCAAAATGGAGTGGAAGTTGAACAGGCTCGTTCTGAGCACCAGCATAGAAATAAGAGCAAAACAATTGCCGGAAATTGCAACACTGGACGAGCAAAGGTTACCTTTGCGCTATGGTGTGCACCCAGACGACACAATGATCGCTGGAGCTGACTTCTACTAGCAAGTACAGGCCGTCCTGATATACTTAGGGTTGTACACAATATCAGCTTCAAGCGTCTGTTGGTTTGTATATGTCTTGTGTTTCATCTCCTCCTATCATTTTATTCCATCTCCTATATCTCCTCATAATTCTAATGTTTCACCAGTGCGTCAAATCTCGTTTCCAGGGGAGCTGACGGTCGTGGCACTGGGACCACTAACAAATATCGCCTTGGCTGCACGCATGGACCAGGAGTTCATGACGAATATCAATGATATCTACCTTATGGGTGGAAACTACACAGGTCAGACATATGCGTGTCTTCATTTATGATGTGATCCAACGTGTATGCATGAACTGTCACTGACTTTCTGCGCATTATGCGCTTGCACTGTCCCACCATCAGTGGCATTTATATGTGCCTTTACGATTTCACTGGGTAGCCAAAACGTTTTGGCTCTGCCTGGAGCTCGCTGTTTCGTCACCTTTGACGGCAGAGGAGGAGGATGGGAGGAGGGCCGGGACGGGCGGCGAGTCCTTTTGCTAAACTTGTGCCCGGCATACCAGAGCGAAACAAAACAAAAAAACAAGAAGCAGAACGACACAAAACAAAAATTGAACAAAATAACACGGTTATGTGCGAAGCAGAAATCAGATGACGCATTCAGGTTCGACCATCTAAAATTTTGTCCAGCCGCCGGTTTACTTTTGTGACATGAATATTACATTGAATGTGAGTGAGTAAAGAGAATGCCTCACATTTAAGCATATTAACGCAAGTATGACACATGATGAAATAAACTCACTTAGAACTACTGGTAAACTTTGAAATGGAAAACACTGTTAGACGGCACGATGACTCTATTCAGTAAATGTGCTCCTCAATACGCCATTGTTGGATGACATCACGAAAAGTTAGCGTGACGTTGAGGTGTTACCAGACTAGCCGTACCAAAACTGCCACCATAACACTCACGTGTGGTAGTTCAGTCTCCCGAGAGGTGGGCCGTGGCGGTGCTGGAAGTGTTTGCTAACCCAATATCCCCATGTGCTCGGGTGAACACCCTTTCTCGTGGTGTTCTTGCATATTTGTCCGTCAGTTTAATGCGTTTAATTGCATTCACATACTCAGTTATGACGCTTTTATTAAGTACTTTATAACAAGTCTCTTTTCCGTAATAACTAGCCCCTATGTCCAACTTCTTATACTATGTGCCACAAAACGTGATTCATTATTGAAACTTGCACAACCCTGTTAACATAGATTGAAAGCAATTTACGTCCATTATATCTGGAAATCGCGCCCACGAACCTCGGATATGAAGGATTCGACGATTACGTTCTTCTTGGTCTTGAACGCCGCGTGGCCAATGGGGGTACTGGGTCTTGGATGATGTTTCTATGGTGTCATGCGTACCTGAGTGGCCTTGAAATATTCTGCGCGAAAAAGACAGTGCGGGCATGTAACATGTTTATTACGAAATAAAAAAATATGGGAGCCATTCAATGAGTTTTCAATTATTGCAGGTGCTGTACTTTAAATAGGTATGTACATGTGCTTACACTACTGAATAACCAGTTATGCCTCTCCACGCCTAACTAGTGACTACGAATACAACATCTTTGTTTTTTACAACCATCACATGCACTCGGGCAGATTTCCATAGTCTACATCACTGACACATGCTCACCTGATATTTTACTCCTTTTTCACCCTATAGACCTATGCTTATAAAGCCTCGGTTTGACCGATCGACTTAGGGGAGGAGTAGTATTTTAAAAGGAATTGTATTTGAACATATATAGATGACCTTAAGTCCTAGACTGTTGAGAACTTGTAGACTGGCAGAAGAGTAAATTTCGGGAGAAAGTAGTTGAGGGCATGACTTTTCGGCGCTGGCCATCATCAGGTGGGTAAGAGAGTAAAAGGAGTTAATCATGCACTAAGGATGTTTTCCCTCCTTTTCTCTTTCCTATCTTTATTAACGTGATAAGCCGAACGCCAAAAACGAATGTTTCCATCTACTCTTATCCTGATCTTTGCTCATCTACCAACCCACAAGTCTCCAAAGGCTTCCAGAGGGTCAATGTTGTTTAGGCTGAAGGTTATCTACTATTCTTGCCTAGATTTATTATCGCCTTGCTATCTTCGCCGTGTGCCCCGAAATTAACTAGTGGAATTTATCAAACTGCTGTGTCTCCTCAAGCAGTAACTGTCTCTTGGAATGATTTGGTATTATCCAGCTCACCTTCTTGAAGCTCAGATAAGTTTATGAGAACTCTATCAGGTCATAGTTGCACCAATCAGTCCCCAGCAACTTCTTCGGAAGAATGGATCGTGCCAGTTATTGACGTTGGCTTTTAAAAACACTTGAAGTGCGTGATTCGAACCATAAAAACTGGTTCGTCGTCAATGAAGATTGTCAAGAATATGCTCCGCCTTCTCAGCGACGTACTGGCTTATCTTTTCCTGGGGCAAAGACCACTCCTCAAACTGCGCAGATCCAGCTCCGTCATTGTTCTCTTGTTGAAACCGCTCTAATCCGCTGAACTGAAGAGCTGACCTGGCTTTCGGGCACCGGCAAACAGTCGGTATTCTTTGATAATCTGATTCGACACTTTATGCAGAGGGTGATCCCCTCTCGAATCCTCGTTCATCTTCACCGTTTCACGCATTCCCACAGACGATCCGATGCCTGCCGTACGTTCACGAGGATGTGTCTCTTATGGCAGTCATGCGGTGTTTCAACAAAATATAAGAGCAATGGTGTAGTCAAACGTACATCCAAAAGAGGCCTCTACACATAGTTGTATTTCACTTTTTTGATCGCCCGCATGTCTACTTTGCGCGAGCCACTCCATGGAGTTCGTACGAAGGTGATCCCTTTGTTTTGATCCGGCTTGTCCGGGCGGCCGGCCAACCTCAACCGGCCCAGGGTTTACAGAACGTGACCTTCGCGCGCGAGATAATAGCCTCTCCTGGTTCCTGATACTAGAAATCGTCCGTCATACGCAATGGTGGTTGACAAATATTGAAACAATGGTGTGGTGTAAAAACGCATGGCCATGTACTTTTTATAACGGCACGTGAATGAAGTACACGACCATGTGTTTTTCACTGACTAGGGCTCTAGTGCACGGGCTCTGGTGTAGTTCAGAAGATAAATGGCATTTGATTGCAGAATAAAAACGTTTTATTGATGTCACTGTGTTGGGTTAGTATGAATTGTGGTCTTTGGCTGTCATCTGCTTCCATTTGGCATAGTAACCGTATTTGTAAAACAGCAGTTTTGGAACGCAATGCACGTACGTGCCTGGGTGTAACCATTGTGGGGAGGGAGAAATGTCACCTACAATGTTCCGAAAATGGCATTTTTCCCCCGACCTTCGCCAGCAAAATGCAACCTTTCGCATTTTTACATCTAGAGTAATGTCTCTTTAGTGGGTGTTCCTCCCTTCCCCCCCCCCCCTCACGCCACTTCATCCTGATTTGTCCACCAATCCCGAGAGAAGGGTTACGCCCATGTGCAAATATGCAGAACATTTGCCTTTTTTCATCGGGTGATATCACGCGCAAACGATGGAAATGTTATATGTCATGAGATTTCATATTTTTGCCTTAAGCTATGATAAGATGCATCCAAGTGCCAAAATCTGAGTTCCCAGTTCATAATGACTAAAAACTAGCAGCTCAATGCCTGTCTAATTTATATCAGGCATGAGTCGCAAAATTCCTTAGCGAAACGTCACCAATGTTTGATCACATTCGCTTATTTCGTACGGGTGGTCCATGAGCTATCCATGAATTTGGGCCAACGTACTCATCAAGACCTTTATGTGGATACGTGGCGGGGCTTTAAAGGAAAAAAGTACCTTTGGTTTGTAAATGTATGGAATAGATTTGAGTTATTGTGCCTAGAATTCTTGTTAACATTGTTTCTACTATGGGTAGCTAGCGGTAGCTATGGCCAAAACTTTGTACATCTTATAAGCTCAGGGCTCAAGCGCCCGTCGACATGTGATGGAGTATATCAAAGGTCAAATTGCGCAACCATTTACTTTAATGCGGTGGCGTGAGGCTACCTGAGGTCAGTGCATGACCTCCTATGACATTTTCCGAATCATTTCGCACAAGCTATCGTCATGGTAAGAAGACAAAATTTACGCACTGTGAAAGGTTTGTAAAAACACTGCACGGTCCCGAAAACATGACCTAATACAACCTTGACGTTTAATGATGCTCATGCCAACAATGATGGTTGCTATTACTCGCGATATAACGGGATTTATAGGGCTTTGTCTTAGTTTCCTGGATTTTACTTGGCTTCGCCTAGGATACTATGAAGTGGTCGCGAGCATTGATCATCTGCATGCTCAATGCACGAAGCACATGAATTCCATCATCTTGCAAACTTGCATTGGCCTTCAGCAAACCGGGCCGTAACTGCTGAGAGGATATATATCACAGCAATTATTACGATGCATGATGGTGAGCGGTTTGACGTTGTTTCCAATAATAGCTGAAAATTATTTTAATGATTGCTTGAAATATTCGTTTATCTTTTACGTCCTGGCATATTGACGGTTGGTTTTTTTTAGCGCACACGTCACGATACCAAAAAGAAGGTCGATATTTATTTTTTTATTGATATCAAATACAGCCAACTCACACCTTTAACATCATCCAACAAGAAAATTTGGTTTACAAAAGGGTAAACATGCGTCGTTGGCTGGACCACCGATATTTGTTTGACTTTTAATGCCAAGTCTCGCAAAACGAAACAATTTACCAATGCCCTTGACACGACAGTAGTTGAGATTAGCAAGCTATCTGTCAAATGACTACAGACTGAACTTATTACATCTGCTGCAGCGACGTGCAGAGCGATTTCGGGAGATCCGCCGAAGAAGACAAAAGGGAGCTGCTGGCATGCAGGGAGCCCCTTCCTCCCCCCCCCCCCTGTCATGCAACCTGCGCCAGTCGAGACTTTTACCGTTTCCATGGGTTGTGGTTTAAAGCCGTCCGGTCACACCTAGCCGGTGAATTCCGCCAACGTAATTTATAGTGTGAGCGCGCGTGCGAAGCTGCCGCTGCCCGGCAGGCCTGCGGCAACGTGGACGCCGTCCGGCGAGTTCAAACTTCGTCTGCGACCCGGAGGCGGCGAACTCGTGCTCGCGTCCGTGCGCCGCCATCTTAATCGCCTCGGGGAGGTCTCCTACACCACCGGCCTCGACATGGTAAGTCATACCCAGCCACACGGCATAGACATGGTCAGTACGTTCCGCACACGGCCTCGACTGGTCAGTTACGCCCGCACACGGCCTCGAATGGTAGTCCGTCAGCACACGGCTCAGCATGGTCAGTTACGCCCGCACACGGCCTCGACTGGCAGTCTCGTCCACACGGCCTCGACATGGTCAGTTACGCCCGCACACGGCCTCGACATGGTCAGTCACGTCCGCACACGGCCTCGACATGGTCAGTCACGTCCGCACACGGCCTCGACATGGTCAGTTACGCCCGCACACGGGCCGTGTGGCCTCGCTCGTAAGTGCATGAATGGCTGAACAATCGGCTGCGGGCTTC